TCACAGTCACAAACAGGCCAATGGAACAGAATTCAGAGGCCAGAAATAGAACCATTCACATACACAACCCATAGCTGACAAAGGCATAACGGTACTCCTTTGAGAAAAAAGTAGAATTTCAACCAAGGAGGCTGAAACAGTTGTGTACACACACACACACACACACACACACACACACACACTTCATTTCATATCATGAACCACACACATACAAAAGTAACCTCAAAATGGGTTATGACTTAAACATAGCCTAAAACTAGCTCTGGCCACAGAATTTGCAGACTCTGTGCTATAAAAAATGCAGGTTTGTTCTCCAGTTCAAAAATTACTAAGAATGTCAAGCAGACATTAAACCAAGCAGAGCATTAAACTAAGCATGGGACCCCATGTGATTACATGAGCTGTACTTCCATGAAACTACCTTTGCCAAAAAAATCATGAAACTTTTTACAGAAAAAGACCTTTGTTATCTTGAATTACATAGCAATTTCTTAGATGTAATACAAAAAAGGATGATCCATAAAAGAACAAACTGATACATTGATGATCAAAGTGAAAAACTTCTGCTTTCAAAAAAGATCGCTGAATGAAGACCAGCCACAAGTTGAGTGACAATATTTGCCAGAAATGATAGTGTTTAACATTGTTTGCACACTTATACTGTGTCAGACACTATCCTAAGAACATTCTTCTATATATGCCACATACATTATACAAGTTCTTATCTATAAACCACATATATTATATATAAACCATAATATTATGAAAACATGTTATAAAATAGATGCAACTTTTATTCTTGTTTTGTAGATGAAAAGCATATGCATTTAAGAATCCAGCTTCAAAATCTAAAACTAATAAATCAAGAAAGCAACATCGCAGCCCAGGCTGACTGACTTTTGAGTCCTTGGATTACAATTCTTAAGATAAAACCAAAGATGGCTCTTTTCATTGTCTTTAATCAACCTAAGGAGGACTGTAAAAACTCACCTACTTCTTATTTTAACAGGCCACCTTTTAAAACTCCTGAAGTAGGTGCTTTTGATGACTACATCTACCCAACTATTTATGTTCAATGCATAAAACATCCCCTTACTATGGGCCTTTACCAAGACTGGGCAAACCCAAGAAGTTATCAGCCTTTCCGGGACCGGTATCAGCAAAGCAAGGGTAACACAAGTAAATTTGTAATGCTGAGTTCCAGATAAAGTAGCCTTGAGCTGAACTGCCACATGGCCTAATTTACTCTTTCGGAACAAGGGACATCCCTGCTACAGGAGACATAGTGGTTTCTTGTGCCCTGAAAGAATGCATCTGCCTCCTTCAGGGACAACTTATATCTAGAAAGGGACCAAGCATGGGAACACTGGTGTTTATCTGTGTGTCTGAGCCCACCCACTGTTTAAGGGCAGGCTGTGGAGAAAGCAGGACCAACTCCTAAAAAGGCATTTGGACTGAATAGCACAATATGCTTGGATACCCGTGCTTCATGTAAACACAAGGAGATTGTGAATTCTAAGAGACGGGGTGTTGCAGTTCAGCAAGGATCTGATTAGCATCTAGAATTCATCCTGAGGAAGGATGGCAGACCTCTTTGTCTGGAGGAGGGATGTACACAGGGCTCTTGTCACCAGCGCTTCCTAGCAATTCTCCCATGAATTTTTCAACCCAGTTCCCACTGAAGCACATTTGGGAAGTCTCCAGCACTTTCCTAGAAAAAAAGGCTTTTGGCTAGTCGATCTTATTTTTACAAGTGCAAGTGAAATATTTTGACATAAGAGAAAGAACCATAGAAAACTAAAGTTCTCTCTTTGAAGGTAGGAATAAGGTAGCTTGTAAGGTTCTTCTAGAAGTTGGAGAGGACTGAGTAAGCTGCTTTGAACTATCAGTGCTGGGAGTCTTCCTTGCCTTCAGTTGGGCAGCATGTAAGTGACTGAATCAAGGAACACAGAAACCTGTAATCTAAGTTCAGGGGGCCAAAATGAACTGGATGACATTCCTTATTTTCACTGTAGAACATTCTATGTCACACTTTAACTATTGAAATTCTTTATGCCTTCCCACCTTCAAAAAGAGGAATACAACCATTGCCCCTGCCTACTCTGCTGGCAAGATTTGGGTATTACATTTTTCCTGGGTGTTCTAGATCATGTGACCCCAGTAAATTCCTTTGCACTTACCCAGCCTTTCAGACTTTGAGCCCATCACACAAAGTAACTCCAACAAAACCTGACACTGGGAGTCTTGGCACTCTATCACCACCACTCTCTGCAACTTAGCAAGATCCAGAAAGAGGGTTAAGATGGTTGTACTGTGTCACATAATTAAAACTTAAAACGAGGATATGAAAAGTTCTGAAATAAGTGCATCCCTAAGCATATCAGCATAGTTAAATTTTGCCAGGCAGAAAAATTTGAGGTTTGAATTTTTGGAGCAGATTTTAAACTCTACAAGAGAAAGAAAATCAAAGGAACAGAATATCTCTGCATATATCCACTTATTGTTTCACCTGGGCTGATATGACTAGCACCAAAAAAATAGCTTACGCCCACTAATGCTCCCTAACCCAACTTTCTATCTAAAACAGCAATATCGGTTAGGTGTATTTACATCAATCGAAGAATAATCAAACGAGGCCTGTAGTTAAAAGAAAGCCAAATTTGGGGTTTTAGTGAGAAGTTGATTTTCTTGATAAGGATGTACACAGATGATCTATGTGTAGACAGGTAACTGAGAATGTCACTTACTTCCTACTATTAGAGGCAGTGACATATGAGGGGAGGGGAAAAGAGCATTGCTGGATGCACCTATGACACCAACATTGAATAGTTACTGCTCCTTTCATCAGGTAAAGAAAAGTGCTCTGAGGGAAAAGCAGTGCAATTGTCATAAAGAAAGCACATGGCTGAACAAAATGCCTGTCTGATGTAGGCATTTCATTTCTGGGAAGGGAGGAAGAAAAGAATTCCTTCCAGGGATAGACAGAACAAAATGAGCCCTCACTTTCTTTCGATTATCCATAAAAACTAAGATACCAGCCACATGCTGCACACAGATGTAAACCATTCTTGAGTGAATGCATCTCCTACTTTGTCAAAAGGTGGGAGGTTTGCAAAGTGGAGGCCTTCAGATTTCTCATTCGGTTGACTGAGAGCTTTTATGCTCAAGTCTCATTTGAAGTGCTCATTTCTTTCCCACGAAGTGTACACACAGGACCCCATCACAAAATTCACTGACCGGTTTGGTTTTGAACCCTTGAAGGACAGCTTCGCCATTAACAGTGTAACACACAAAAAAAGGCCTTATGAACTCACTTTTCTATATGTTGGGGCCCAATCAGGACTCTAAGAACTGGACTGAATTTTAATTCTTTGTTGCAAAAGGAGGCGACTGGATGTTTCCAGCATCTTATTTAAAGCGGGGTACGCTAATACGTGTAGCAGTGCATTAATGGGCTACATTAAATTACAGGTATGAATTTTACATAAAACGGATTAATATTATATGTCATGGTGGAATTCTAAATACTCCACACCCATGCATTTTTAATATTTAAATGCTCTAATGCTGAAGGCAACTGCATTCCTTGAGTCCACTTTGCATCCAGATGGGTTAAAAAAAAAAACCTTACAACATTTTGAGTGTATGCATGCATGTACATATAAATATGAATATGTAAATGCAC